TGCCGGGTCCTGCACCTGGGGCGCAATAACCCCAAGCAGAGCTACGGGCTGGGAGATGAGTGGTTGGAAAGCTGCCTGGCAGAGAAGGACCTGGGAGTGATGGTTGATAGACAGCTGAATATGAGCCAGCAGTGTGCTCAGGTGGCCAAGAAGGCCAATGGCATCCTGGCTTGCATAAGAAGCAGTGTGACCAGCAGGGCTAGGGAGGTGATCGTCCCCCTGTACTCGGCTCTGGTGAGGCCGCACCTCGAGTACTGTGTTCAGTTTTGGGCCCCTCGCTACAAGAAGGACATCGAGGTGCTTGAGCGGGTCCAGAGAAGGGCGATGAAGCTGGTGAGGGGCCTAGAGAACAAGTCCTATGAGGAGTAGCTGAGGGAGCTGGGCTTGTTCAGCCTGGAGAAAAGGAGGCTCAGGGGCAACCTTATTGCTCTTTACAGATACCTTAAAGGAGGCTGCAGTGAGATGGGGGTTGGCCTGTTCTCCCACGTGCCTGGTGACAGGAGGAGGGGGAATGGGCTAAAGTTGCGCCAGGGGAGTATTAGGTTAGATGTTAGGAAGAACTTCTTTACCGAAAGGGTTGTTAGACATTGGAACGGGCTGCCCAGGGAAGTGGTGGAGTCACCATCCCTGGAAGTCTTTAAAAGACGTTTAGATGTAGAGCTGAGGGATATGGTTTAGTGGGGACTGTTAGTGTTAGGCTAGAGGTTGGACTCGATGATCTTGAGGTCTCTTCCAACCTAGAAATTCTGTGATTCTTCTCTTGGGCAATGTGAGCCTACGCTGAAAAAATTTTATAAAAAAATATATGCTTAGCCTCATAATTTAAAAAAAAAAAAAAAAAAAACAAACATCAAATTTACATGCCGAATCTACATATGTGCAGCATCACAAAATGAGAAAAGGATCAGTAGCCCAATCTCTCCCCTTTTCTGGAGAAATTACATGATCTTCCAGGCAGAAGTAGTTGGGAAGCAGCGTGTTCTGCCTTAGCGGCTCTAATCTCAACTCATTTCACGAGGCAGGAACTATGCAAACACAGGGTAACATTTCCAGCAAATCTACAAAGGAGATAAAAGACAGCAAGGACAAACATGCAGAGCAAGATGGGATGTGGTAGAGAAGGAGACAATGTTGTTTGGCCAAACGTGAGGAACTAGCATGACTTTATTGAGAAAGGACACTGCTAAGTAGCACAGAAGACATGCAATCTCTCATATGTTTATCAAGAAAGATATTGACAGTGGGGCTGATTGTAAGCCAGCCATAAATAAAAAGGCCCAGAAAATCCAATTCCAATTTTGCTACCCTGGATACAAAGTGCTATTCCATTGATCAAAGCTATAAACCAAATCAGAAGCTCATGCCAGCATGTCTTATAAGTTACATATTTACCATGTAAAGTCCCAAGTCCCTATAGTAGCAAAGAAATGACTGAGCTATTCACACAACAGGAGAAAAACAAATTCACTCCATCTGTTTAAAGAAACAACCTGAGCTTGGAATGGACTAATTAAATTTGGATAAGACTTGCTCTGCCAAAACCTGCCTACAAAGCCAGTGATCAAAACAGTTTTTCCCAACATGCCAAAGAAAATATGCAGCACAGGCTCTAATGATTGTAGCTTCCCATATCTTTGGGGAAAAGAAGGGAATAAGTGCATTCGAGCACCAGAGTTCACTTGGAGCTGAAAGTGTGTGCATCTCAAGGTCAAAATTTAGTACAGAACTCAAAGGAATTTGAAGGTGTATGTTTTTAAAAAGAGTTGTATTTTAATGAGACTATTTTTTTAAAGGGGTGACATGGTAGAGAGAAGCAAAAAAAGTATGGGAAACAAGATATAAGAAGTTCCTGTTAAAGAGAAAAATAGGAAATGCACATTTCTTATTTGAAAGACTAGGTTAGGCTTAATTTTGTCCTTGTACTTACAGAAACTAATCAGAAAGATTTGACATTGCTGGGAACCAGCCAAGGGCAGCAACTCATACATGCAGTGCCACTGCACGGCTCTCTCCACAGCTGCTCAGGACCAAGTCCCTTCAGAGAGCTGCCCCAGCCCATCGCACAGCCCCACAGCCATGCTCCCCGCCAGAGGCAGAGCCCAGCATGAGGGAAGCACAGAAGCTAAGTGGCTTATGTTATGTCAAGTCCCATCAAAAGCCAGCCACATGCATAGAAGTGGAGCAGTCTATGCCACTCCCAGAAGGATTGCAGATCAGCTACTTCTTTAAACAGGTCTTCTCAACTTTAAGCACAGTTTTAAGCTTAATGATGCACTTGGATTATTTAATACAGGATATGCAGCTTTCTGCAGCTACTGGCTGTGTTTGTGTTAAGGCTTGAAGTGTCTCCAAAACAACTCAAGGTACATACTACAGACCTAGATGTTCCTAACCTTGCTACCATGGGTAGCACTAACAAGTGTTTCAACCAAGATCCAAGTCCTTATTGTGTAACTGCCCCAGGAATTAGTCAGAAAGCGTAGCTGCCCCACAGCATTCAGGTCTGTGCTGTAGAGTTCTCATTCCTATTATACAGAGGAGTTGAATTAAACCAGACTAAGACACACTTCTGTTTCTATAAGTTTGGTGGCAGATAACGCAAACTTGATCCATCACTCCTATATATGGTCTTCAACCCCCTTTTGATTTGCTTTAGTTTTGCTGTTTTATTTTTGAACAGAATTACTCTTGTTTAACTGAGCATCTGAAGGGTTTGACGACACATACATATTGCATATAGAAGCACAGAGCAGACAGCTTACAAAGTAAGCTATGGGGAGTACAGCTACCACTAGTAAACCTATAGCGGAGGCAGCCACCAGTGAGAATCCAAACCATGCAAATCTGCAGCACCTTCACTGAAGTGCTTTACTGCAGTATTAGGCAGTATTTCACACTGCCATTCTTGTGAGTGTAGAGACAAAGAAGTTAATTAAGCCTTTAACAGCACCTCTTTTTCTCTTCCCCTCTCTCTGACTGAGAACATGGAAGTAGAACCGAAGGTGTAGTGCTTGGAAGTTATTCCTGGGTGTATCCATTATTTGCTGGGCGGAGCACTACATCACAACCAGTGCCACAAAAAAAGAATGGAGAGTCTTAGCGATCGGAGACTCCTTGATGAGGGGCACTGAGGCTCCTATTTGTCGCCCAGATAACCTATCCAGAGAGGTGTGCTGTCTTCCTGGGGCACGTGTCAGAGATGTTAGGAAGGCTCTGCCACAGCTCATTAAACTGGAGGATTACTATCCTCTTGCTGTCATTCAGGTTGGATCCCGGGAAGTTGCAACTAGAAAAATGAGGAATATTAAAAAGGACTTTGCATCCCTGGGAAGGTTGTTGAAGGGATCAGGGGTGCAGGTAGTGTTCTCCTCTGTCCTCCCTCTGGGTGACTGGGACCCAGAAAGAAGGAGGGGAACGGGACAGGTGAATGACTGGCTGAGGGAGTGGTGTCTGGACCAAGGCTTTGGGTATTTCAATCTTGGGCAGTCCTTTGAGAAGCCGGGTATGTGGGCTACGGACCGACTTCAAGTCAGTAAGTGAGGCAAAAGTGTGTTGGGGAGCAAGCTCTCTGGGCTGATTACCAGGGCTTTAAACTAAGTTTGATGGGGGAAGGGAGGGGAGATAAAAGTGACAGAGAAGAGCTGGGGGAGGTTGTCACTGCTGAAGATAGTAGGGAAAAACGTCTGAGTTGTCCCATGGGATCGTCCGAGGGCTCCTCAGAGAAGGTAATGATCCCAATACCCCGTCTGGAATTTTCTTCTTCTTGCATCCCTCCAGGGGTAACTGTGCCTGCTGCTTCCCTAATGTGCCTTTATAGCAATGTGCGGAGCATGGGAAATAAACAGGATGAGCTCGAGATACGGGTTCAGTCACAGGGCCACGATCTCATTGCAGTCACAGAGACCTGGTGGGGGTGGGACAGCTCGCATGACTGGAATGCTGTCATGGAGGGCTATGTCCTTTTTAGGAAAGACAGGCTGGGGAAGCGAGGGGGAGGGGTTGCCCTTTATGTGAGGGAACAATTAGAGTGTACCCAGCTCCACCTGGGGGAGGGTGATGGACAAGGGGAGAGCTTGTGGGTGAGAATTAAGGGGTGGGCTGGTATGGGGGCCACTGTTGTGGGGGTGTACTACAGGTCACCAGATCAGGAGGAGGAGGTCGATGAGGCTTTCTACAAGCAGCTGATAGTAGCCTCATGATCCCGGGCACTGATTCTCATGGGGGACTTCAAATTTCCAGATTACACTCAGCTGTTTCTAATCTAATCTTCAAATTACATTCAGCTGTTTCTAATCCATGCACCCCAGCTGAATCTAAATAGTATCTCCCTCCCTCCTTTTGATTACTGCTAAACTGGAAACCCATCTCAGCAGAGCAGGTCTTCCCCACATAATGCTGATTCTATGTTTAGCTCTGCTTGCATTGTCTGAACCTTATATCTTGCTCATGTGAATAATTTTCCTCATTTCCTTGTGTTCATCTCTTCTCTCTCTCTTTTCTCCTTGTCTCACTGCCTTTCCAATCTGCTACAGCTGCTTGAATACTAAAGTAACCGAGTCAAACCACTTTGTCATCAGAAATATGTTTTCATCCCATGATAACTCAATAATGCGATCTGTTTCTTGATTTGTCAGTACCACACCTTGCTTCATAGAAGAGTAAGAGGTAGCACCCAGTGAGCAGTTCACCATAGCAGTCATACACATAAAGCCTTTCCTCACCTGAATAAAGCTGGTAGAATCCAGCCCATAACCAGTTAATTACTGTTTTCCTAGCTCCTGATAAGAGCAAAAGGCTTTTCTTTTTCTGCATGGAAATCATTTGGGTGGGTTGGTGGTATCCTGATTTTATTTTATTAGCACAATGCAGGTAGTGAATTATTCAAGCAACTGAATTCATTATGCTTCCAAGCCCAAGATGGGAACTCCATATGTAATCCATTTCAATTTTTTATTTATTTTTTGTTTGTTTGTTTTAGAGGATGATCAAGCTGGACTCACCCCTGGCAGTGTCTTCTGTTCATGCAGGGCACTCTGGGCCTTTAGAGCAGACTCCCTTTCACAGTATGTTAGGAAGGCACAGCCTGTAAATAAAAGACACTCGGTAAGAGAAGTGCTTCAGAGAGGATCTGTTTAAACATGGGCTGTAGAACAAACCACTTTCCCATCATTCAATTCCCAGTAAGTCAACCATAAAATCTCTTTACTGTTGAACTTCCTCTTCGCCTTTGTGAAAAGTGAGCAACAGCATAGATATGTTTGTTTCTGCCTGAATACAGACTTCAGTATCAGATATGGAGGACCATACAAAATTTGGGAACTCAAAAGAACCCACACATTGTGCCAAGGTAGGGCATGAGATCCTACTCTAGCAGCAGCACTGGGAACAAGCCCCTTACTGTTACACCATGCTGAAGGTCACATGCCTTTCTTCTGTAACCAAGCACTTTGAGTAAAGGGCATAAAAGGATTTGGGACTTCCTACTGCAGAGGATTATACCTAGTGCTCAGCCTGACTCGCATCCACAAGTATTCTCTGTTTGCATTCACACCAGAAAGTCACAATCCTTCACACGCTGCCGCAAGGGCTGCCTTTGTGCACATGGCTGGAAGCCAGTCCCAGCAAAGCCTCAAACAACAACAAAAAAAACATGGTGCTTTATAGACCACCAGAACTTCATAGATACCCCAATGGATCACACGTCCATTTCTTCCTTGGAATCACCTCCAAGGATCACCTCCCTTGACCTGCTGGCCATGCTCCTTTTAATGCACACCAGGATCCCATTGGCCTTCTTGGCCACCAGGGCACACTGCTGGCTCATGGCCAACCTGTCGTCCACCAGGACCCCCAGGTCTTTCTCCCCAGAGCTCCTCTCCAGCAGGTCGTCCCCCAGCCTGTACTGATACTTCGGGTTGTTCCTGCCCAGGTGCAGGACTCTACACTTGCTCTTGTTAAGCCTCATTTGGTTTCTTCCTGCCCAGCTCTCCAGCCAGTCCAGGTCTCGCTGAATGGCAGCACAGCCTTCTGGCGTCAGCCACTCCTCCCAGCTTTGTGTCATCGTACTTGCTGATGGCGGACACTATTCCCTCATCAAGGTCGTTGATGAAGATGTTGGACAAGACTGGACCCAGCACTGACCCACGGGGAACACCGCTAGTCACAGGTCTCCAGCCGGACTCTGCTCCGCCGATCACCACCCTCTGAGCTCGGCCAGTCAGCCAGTTCTCAACCTACCGTACTATCCACTCCTCTATCCCACACTTTCTCAGCTTTGCTAGCAGGATGTCATGGGAGACAGTACCGAAAGCCTTGCTAAAGTCAAGGTAGATGACATCCACTGCTCTCCCCTCATCTACCCAGCCGGTGATGCCATTATAGAAGGCAACGAGGTTGGTCGAGCATGACTTCCCCTTAGTGAATCCATGCTGACGACTCCTCATAACGTTCTTCTCTTCCACTTGCTTGGAGATGGCATCCAGAACAAGCTGTTCCAACACCTTTCCAGGGACAGAGGTGAGACTGACTGGCCTGTAGTTTCCCGGATCCTCCTTCTTGCCCTTCTTAAAGACTGGAGTGACACTGGCTATCCTCCAGTCTTCAGGCACCTCTCCTGTTCTCCAGGACCTTTCAAAGATGATAGAGAGCGGTTCGGTTATCACCTCCGCTAACTCCCTCAGCAAATGTGGATGCACCCCATCGGAGCCCATGGATTTGTGTGCATTGAGCCCACTGAGATGCTCCCGAACCACTCCCTCAACAGCCAGGGGGGAGATCTCCATTTCCCAGACTCTTTCTCCTCCCTCCAGAGTTGAGGAGTCCCGGGGGGGGGGAGTCCTTGAAGCAAAGAAATCATTCAGTATCTCCACCTTCTCAGTATCTCCTGTTACGAGGACACCCTCTCGTTCAGCAAGGGACCCACATTATCCCTAGTCTTCCTTTTACTGTTTACATACTTAAAAAATCTTATTATCCTTTATCTCTTTTGCAAGCTTCATCTCTTTACATTGTAAGTAAGCTTTATCTTACTTTACATTTTTTTTTAATATATTAGTATGCACAAGGGACTAAGGAGTAAGTATAATTTCCTTAAAAATTATCATGGGGCAGTCATCCTAACTCCCCTGAAATGAAGCCACAAACTAGATACTTGTTTCGCTTTGGCACGGAAGAAAAAAACTAATTTTTGCCCTACCTTTCTGAAGGTCTTGTTCTTTTCAGTGTAGTCAAGACAATAACATTTGTCTCAGTTGAGACTCCCAGAAGCAGAAACTGACAGTCAAGAAAGGAGACTGAATGACAGGAAGTTTGCATCCTCTAATTGAAATTATTTGGGATCATTCCCTTCCAGCTTTAAACAGATGAGCTTTCAGTCTGCATCTGCTATAGAAAGGGAAGAAACTGTGGTAGAGAAAGTTTACAGCTAGTGGAGGTAATGCATTGGAAAGGATCCTTAAGTCACCCATAGCTGGATAATCAAATGGGAAACTATTCTTAAATTTAATTTCAGTGCTAAATCACAGGTTGAGAGCTCTCTGTTGACTAGACACAATAAGAAAGTCTCCCTTTAGTAGCAGACATGGAGCATCTGTTACAGTCTAATTAGGCACATCATAGTGCACTGTTATAATCTATTCAGTGTAAAGCTCCCATAATGATAGCTATATTTTTCTCCTTATTGTGATGGCTGTCATGACAGTTCAGGGTAACATCCTGCAACTCCTACCACCTCGTGACTGCAATTCAGATTGAGTAGACAGAAGAGGCAAAGATTCCTTCCAAGTTTCCCAGGAGGTATGCGTGGGGCCAAGTTCTCATCAGGGAGCAACCTCCATCAAGTCCTCTCTAATGAAGTTTGTGCAAGTGACAGAAGTACTGAACTCCCAGACATCACTGATTTCCTGAACAATGTGCTTGGGACAAAAGGACTTGAAAGTGAGAAGAAGAAATCCAATAAGAGGCTTTCATATGGTCAGACAAAACACTTCTGGGGAAAAAATGTTTTGTAAAGTTCTTTTTTTTTTTTCTTTAAAAAAAAAAACTCATTCCTTAAACATATTCTGCATATGAATTGCACTATCCCAATCTTGTTGGGCAAATTCATTTATTTAGGAAAAAACTATGATTTCAAGTTTTGATTGCTTAGAGACTGTAGTGGGTTTACGTGGTAAGGTTTTGGTAGCAGGGGGCCATAGGGGTGGTTTCTGTGAGAAGGATTTAGAAGCTGCCCCATGTTTGGGAAGGGCCCCATTGTTTTCCAGAGCTGAGCCAATAAGCGATGTCGTTTTGCGCCTCTGTGAGAGCATATTTAAGACAGGGAAAAAAACGCTGCGCCACACAGCAGCCGGGAGAGTGAGAGCAGTAAGGAACTGCCTTGCAGGCACCAAGGTCAGTGTAGAAGGAGGGGGAGAGGTGCTCCAGGCGCCAGAGCAGAAGTCCCCTGCGGCCTGTGGTGAGGACCATGGTGAAGCAGGCTGTCCCCCTGCAGCCCATGGAGTACCACGGTGGAGCAGGGTTCCATGCTGCAGCCCATGGAGGAGACCACGGTGGAGCAGGTGGACCTGCACCGATGGAGGCTGCTGCCTGTGGAAGACCCCTGCCGGAGCAGATTCCGGGCCGGACCTGTAGCCCGTGGAGAGGAGACCACGCAGGAGCAGGTGACCTGGCAGGAGCTGCTGCCCATGGAGGACCCAGGTTGGAGCAGTTTTCTCCTGAGGGATGGACCCTGTGGTAGGGACCCATATCTGGAGCAGTTCTGGAAGAGCTGCTGCCTGTGGGAAGCCCACGCCGGATCAGTTCATCAAGGACTGTATCCCGTGGGTGGGACCCCACAGCACAGGGGACAAGAGTGACCGAGAAGGAGCGGCAGAGAAGAAGCGCTGTAGACTGACCATAACCCCCATTTCCCCGTTCCCCCGCGCCGCTCGGGGGGAGGAGGTGGAAGAGGGTGGATGGGGGGGGAAAATATGCCTTATGCCGAGTCTTTTTTGCCCGTTACAATAATTACTGAGTGATTTTCTCGTCCTTATCTCAACCATTGAGCCCTTTTCACATATTTTCTCCCCGTTCCTCTTTGAGGAGGGGGAGTGAGAGAGCAGCTGTGGTGGAGCTCGGCTGCCCACTCGAGCGGAACCATGACAGAGACAGTGAAAAATCTCATCCCAGCAATGGCCAGCTGGAGGAAAATACAGCTTAATCTATGATAGGCCTCAAATCTCAACTTGGGAAGGCCATTTCATGCTTTTTCTATTGCCTTATCACACAGGATTGCTCTATAGGGATAGAACAGTCAGATAGAGAAGTATTTTCCAAAAACATTAACACCTGGCTTGCAATAAATAACTCCTGCAGGACGGAATAATACATAAGAAACTGATACATGAAATCTGTTAAGACAAAGATCTCTTGCCTCCCCCTGACCAAACATCCAAATACTTGATCTGCCCTTGATATGCGATGCTTAATGCAGTTACACTTGCAGCACCTCCTTCACATGTTACTTTTCTTAGGGTGCCCCTTTCACTGTACATCCATGCAACTCCTCCAAAGGAGTCCTCCTTCCTGGAGGACGTTGGTTAAAGAACAGAGCACTAAGCATTCAAGTTAACATCACAGAATACAACCCCCTAAACAGCTGAGAGTCTTGAAATAATACCATATGAAGCAACTATATTGGGTTTCATGAAGAGAAGTCAAGCTGTTGAAAAAATATGATTTTTTTTCCCCAGATAGGAAAACAATTTCAAAGCAATCATTTTTCCCCATAGAAAGTTTTGACTGTGCAGAGAACCACTTATTTCACCAAAAAATGATGAAAAATTCTAACCGCACTTAACAGCTCACTTGCCATCAGCTGTTTGGGCTGGATGTGAATCTGGTTTCAGAGTGAAAGGTTTCATATTCTGTAATAAATTCTTTGCACCAGCCAGCCCCGTGGAACAGCCCAGTGTAATCAATATTCCTGAACACATCTCTTAAAGAAAATAGGGTGAAGGCGGTGCATTATGCCCATCATCTGCTTGTACTGGTGATAATGATAATAAGTAATAGAAAAAATAATAAGTGCAGTGCTTTAGAATTATA